AAAATAGTGCTCGTATGTAAAGGTAAAAATTCTGAGTGTAGGAGATTCAATCCCCTAATCACTGAATAGTTGTTACTGTTCGACACAGTAGAATATACTGGTATTACAAAAATTTGCAACGAATCAATTGTATAATCTCCAATAAATATAAAAGTATATATCAAATATTTTTCTCTATCAGCAAAATAGCACTTTTGAAGTGACAGAATATTATCTTTGCAATTCATTTTTTTCTCTCCTATATCTTTTTTAATAAATTGATGAATAATTTTTTTCAAAAAAAAAAAGTAAAAATTAAAATTCGCCACTGACTAATCACAAATATAAGTACTCTGACACAATAATACTACAGTAACAAATAGATAATATGATCTATGTACAAAGTAAATGACAAAATAAATGAAGTCAAATTGAAACTTCTTATCAGCCTATAGTAGAATAAAGTCTCTAATCATCTTCTATTGAAAAAAAAGCAAAACATTCACAAGAATAAAATCTCTCATAATTTGTCTTCAGTAGGAAACACGGCTGGATAAAGCTGTTGCCACGTCAACAATAGATTGAACACAAATTCATTTCTTGTGGCCAGTTGTGGGTTCAATATGTGTACTTCCTAAATCAATTTCACAATGATGAGTCTATCAACAAATTAATTTTGTTACAGCATTTCCATTATCCTTTGAATAAAATGGTTTTGGGGCCACATGATCGAGCTGAACATGCAATATATCCTATTCATTAAAAAAAATGCAATAACATGAAATGCTGATGATTTAAATAAGTGAACAACATTAGCTACCTAAACTTTTACACCACAAACAACAGTGCAAATAAGTTCACAGATCTAATCAACAACAGTAGTATTGGATCTACAACAATCTAAATATGATAATATCCAATGATGATAAACATCCAGTTCTTCTTACACAGATTGATGGCCAGACATTAATATAGTCCCAGGTACAAAACTTGTGTCAATTTTTCCACTTTATCACTATTGTAAAAATATCTTTTATAAATGTCCGTTTTGTAGTCTACCACTGTTGTGAATTATACATGTTTATACCTGATAAGTGTGAGCATAATGTTTAAAATTTTATCTTGTGTATGGACACCAAACCACATCCTGTGCACTTGTTGAGGGGTAGCGTCGCCTGTGTCAGAGGGTGGTGTGTGTTATCTGGGGCTGGCCTGGGTAAACTGTACCAGGTACTTCAGACACACCTGCTTATGGTCCTCTACGATGTACTCACTGTACGGAGGGCTGTAGTAGAATCTAGCCCTCTCAGGCTGCTCCTTTTCACTGACCATATTCCAAGAGGTATGCTGTAACCTGAAAATTAAGAAAGAAGAAAAAAGTAATGTATGTGTTGCAAGCTTTTTTGTCTCTAAATCCATCTAAGCAAATGACCAGGAAGCTTTCTCATATCTTTCAATAATAATTTTTTAAAAAATCATTTTGCTAAAAACTGAGCAATCTGAATTATGATGCCAGAGATCTTTTCAAGATATCTACAATTTACAACTGACCTCTTTGCATGGCCACATTAAAGTCTTCATCTGGTTGCTTACTTCCCTCGACAAAACGACTCTTAAAGTCTGTGTCCTTCAACTCACTGTCAAACAAGAGGCCCATGGGCCTTCTAGGTCACCTGAGCATTACGCAACAACTTTCCAGTGATTGAATTTGATTCATGTTTTAAGCCAGATCTATGGCATTCACAATTTTGAAAGAGGCACCATTGATCATCATAACTACATGTATACACTTAGCAGTTGCTTATTTTAGTTACTTAATACCCATAGGCAAGGTAGGGGAACAAAAACTTCATTTCAACTAATCAGTAATATTCAGCAATAATCAGTAGTGCCCCTCCCACACATGAACCCCTGACCCTTAGGCCTAGATCCACACATTGCACAATTTTTGAAAAAGCATCCTTGCTTTTCAAAAATATTTGATTAATACCAAGAAGCAGATTTCAAACAATTCATTCATTTTCAGTATATAAGTACAGCCCCCCCCCCTCCCACCTCTATGGTACCCCTGACCCTGGGACCTTGAAATTCACAATTGTGGAAGATTATGGCCCTTGCTCATCATAACTATACAGGTAGTTCATTTGCTTTATACCCAGGATCAGAGTAGAAAATTTTCAAAGATTTAATGTATTTTCACTATATAATCAATAGAGCCCCATCCTAAAACCAGAACCCCTGACCCTGGGGCCATAAAATTCACAATTTTGGTAGAGGCACTCTTGCTCATCATAACTATGTACTTAGTTAGTTTATTTAATACCTAGGAGCAGAGAAGAAGATTTTCAAAGAATTCATGTATTTTTACTTTATCACATATTTTTACCTTTATCCCGTTGATATAGCTTATGTGATATCGTTTTCGTATCAACACTATGTATTCCTACGCCGCGTGACGTAATGTAAATAAACAAATACATGTGTTTGATGGAGAGAATGACTTAATTTGTCAAATTTCACT